ATGAGTCACGGTCGTTAGCTGCGCAAAAAAACTGACGCGTGATCAGTATTCAGCAGCAGCGTGTGCTTGGTCTAAAAGAGCGCGCTGGTCCCAGTGCTGACTGTACTTCAGCGTTATTGTTGTCTTCAAGGTACTCATTGTTGTCTGTACCTCATAATGCTCACAGTTGCAGTGAATCTCGTGGAACGTCCAGATAGCAATCGAACTTCCTCCAGGGTTGTGTCTCTTTTCTCATCTTCCATCTCATCCCCCAAAATCTTGCACTTTTCACCCCACAGCTGCCTCTCTGCCCATTTTTCTATTGTTCTTCTTTCCACCAGATGAGAAAGAGGAAGGAGGGATTTAGATGGAGAGGCTAGCATGCAGGGATGTGTCAGTGTGTCTTATAAGAATCTGTGTGTGTGTGTGTGTGTTGTGGGAACATAACCCATCACACAGGGTGTGTCTGTGTACCCTGATATCACTGTGCATTATTTAAAGAGGTCATAACAAGGTAGGTTTGGACCTCCAGTCAGTGACCTTGATAAAGTACTTTTATTCTTCTTTAACTATTTATATCATGACCAGATCAGTGGTGAGCTGAGGTGGCTTCACTGTGTCTTGCATCTAGGTTGCTGAGCCACATTGAAGCAATACACTGGAGGGATGTACAGAAATAAGCACATACAAAATGCCTCCATGCTGGAAAGCGATGCTCAGTGAACCGAGTCCAAACACAGGACGTCCCGCTGGTACTGAACCGATCTGCTCAGAGATCCTTTTCACTTAAATGCAGAGGAAGTGGCGCTGGATGGGACACACAGGGCCATTGTAAAGCCACCGCTAGGAGCGGTGCACTGCATCAGGAAAAAGTCCGCCCGGTCGTAGGCTCCGCCCCCTACATCCTCTCCTCCGTGGAGCTTCCAGACGAGCCAACAAACTTCAAGGAAAAAAAAAACAACCTCCAAACACGCATTCCTGGTCTGTTGACACTGCGGTGAAGTAAAGCTACTGTCTAATTCATCACAAGAACGAGCGGTAATTATCTATGACCCGACTTCCGCTTTGAGGAAATCTCATTTTTGGAGTGAAATAACAAACCGGGGCCGATGCAGATGTTACCGACGACTGGACGATGAGGCGGTCGGACCTCCGCGCGCCGTTAACCGCTGATTTCCAAATTTCCGAGAGACGATGTGGAAAGAGGAATACGATGTTCACTTCGACTTTTTGCTGCAGCTGCTGTAAGTTTGATATTTCTACAGGTCAGAGAGTGGATTTATGATTTCACGTCCAGACGGGTGGGAACGTGAACATTGTGCTGCGTGGCAACATGGAAATAGTGAGGTAGTTTTACTCTGGAGAACTATCACTGTAGTACTTCTATCGTATCTCTGCAGGGACTTCTCTGTGATACCAACATTTGGGATAAAAATGACTCTTTTTAATCTCACGTGGTGTTCCTTTAGGGACTTTAAGTGTCCGCCAATGGATGTAGTGGAGTTAGAGAATTTAGCAGGAGTTTACCATAAATTAGCATATTATCTTCATCAGGACTTATCATTTTAAATGGCATGCGAGAGATATGAGATATTACTGTAGTTGCTATGGATACAAGGTGATATTGAGGATAAGATGGCAACTACTAAATATTCAGTTTAGAGTTTATATAAAAAGGATAAAAGCATAACAAATCCTCATGTTAGAGACACTGGAACCAGTCATTTATACTTGGTAAATGACTGAAATTAATAATCGATTAAAAAAGAAGTTCCCACTTGAAGGATGCCGAATTGCTCTAAACTGTTATTCTCACGTCTGACTTGTACTTTGAGCTGTGACCAGCAGTTTTTAAAGAAGTCAATAACAGCAGCTTGTCACTCTTCATGACCTCAGTTGATGACCAAACAGTGTCAATAATGGTGTGAAAAAACAAAATGTGCAAGTGCTGTGGATACACAGATGTAGCTTTGTCTCATTTTTCGCGGCCGGAGGTGTCTTTGTTGCTTGTTTCACATTTAAGAGCCCAATATTGCAACAGCGTGTTTTGCTGAGATCGTATCAACAAGCCCCAGCAGACGACCTGGCTGACACACACAACGTGTGTGTGTTCCCTTTAATATGTCGGCCTCGGTTAGCCATTGATCAGAGTGATGTGAAAATGAAAGAGGAGTCTGTGAAATAACAGAATTTCATAATCCAGTTTATCCCATAATAGATGATTACCCTCATGGATGATGCCATTAACGAGAAGATGCCCCCGCCTCCCACACACCCACACACACACACACACACACGCACACACCTTACATGCAGACACACCTTAAGGTGTGGGTTCGGGCGGTGCGCAGCCACAGAGATTAGCATGTGAGTCAGTGACATGCACCATCACGCTCTCTATCTCTGACACAGTCGGACTGCGTGGCAGTCACACAGGAGGATTGTGTGGCCTGGGGATACAGAACTGTGCCTTCAGACAAATAGGTTTACTGTGTGCCACTTGGCCCTCGGTGGCGCCAAGTATCCCGGCGCAAAAGGTCTGCACTAGATGTCTGACACTTCATGTTGTGTCTCTCTCTCTCTGTTATTGTGTGTGTGTGTGTGTGTGTGTGTGTGTGTGTTGGCTCTATTATTGCCAGACACCAGTGAATTGGGGGAGCCCACCATCGTTTTGGCCCCATGACTGAAATGAGCTTTGAATGATTTATGAGGTCCCTCTGCGTGGAGACTTAATACGGTCAGACAAGCGAAAGCAATTTCGCTGCAAGCGCCAGACTAGATATTGTTTTGATGGCTTACCGCAGACTCATTTTTATTTTGTCACCATATGTGTGCGTATTTTTCTTTTATCTTTATGTCTTTATATTTCCACCCATCCATTTTTCCATTTTCAACCTGAAAAGGGGGGGCGGGTCCTGCGAGGGATACGTAGTCCATTGAGCAGAATCTGTGTCTGCCCAGAGGTCTCCTCCCTCCTCCATGTCCAGAACACCTCCAGAGGGAGCCGTACAGGAAGCATTTTAATCAGATCCCCAAACCACCTCGACTGGCTCCTTCTTAAACTGGTTTTACTCCGTCCGGATACACAAACTCCCCACCCGGTCCCTAAGGGTGAGCCCAGGCACCCTGCGAATGAAACTGCTCCCACCCGAACCGTATCTGCAATCTCGTTGTCATTCCTGTTAGTGATGCTCCACTGAGATAAAGTGGAGGAGTTTGCGTGACCTGCCTCATCATGGCGGACGCTTTCTGTGCTCCCGTGACCCTGGGAGCTGTGTTGTCGGGGGGCAATAGCTCCTTGTAGTGTCTCCCGAGGCAAACTGGTCCAAGGTCAGAGGCCAGATGAAGAGTGATAGTAAGTGCCTAATGAACCAGTCAAGACGGGACAGTGTGACCTTGCCTGGAGCAGAGAAACCAGAGGTGTAGTCAGCCAGTGAGCGTGTGAGGGCAGAGGGCCGGCTGTTGTTTGTGTTTATATGTCTTCTTGTATCAGTCACTTTATTCATCTCGCTGCCACACAACGCGAACGTGTGGCAGATGGTAAGACGGTCTGCAATCGTCTACAATCCCTTCACTAGCACAGGACACTCGGCTTCCGCCGTAACCACGGTAACCAGCAAATCATAGCGTAATGCATTGAGTTTGTGAGGGTAATGACATTGGGCTGATCTGATTATGCAAAAAAAACATCTGAATCATCCGGCCAGAATGCTGACGGTGGCACGCAGATGCACACACAGACAGGAAATGAGGAGATGCCATTCAGACTGATGGAGGTCTCTTTCTTCACAGTTAAAACTGATCATTTACTGTTAGTTTGCCTGGTTTCTACAACACGAGAGTTTGTTCCTTTTAGCTCTGATGGTATTGAATGTCGGATGTTTCGTCTGTGAGTGTTCTTTTAACTTGTGATCGAAACCAAAGCATCAGCACTTTGTGTTTACAGAACTATAAAAAAAAGAAGCTAATTAGCTCCCCACTGATGGACTGTGGTGTGGAAAAGTATACAGTGCAAACTCAATACCTCAAACACACTACCTCAGTCAGTTCATAAATAAATAATTAGGGCACTAATTAATCCCGGAGTCTCTCTCTGTTCTCCTGACGACACTAACAGTTTTACAGAGTGTGAGTCTTTGGCTCGATCGGTTCATCAACCTGCGTCCCTAAGCAGCGGTAGCCTTATTTACTAATGTTAAGTCAGCTGTTATTGGCTCTACAAACATCATTTACATTTCGGTTCAGGTTCAGTACGTTTACATTTTCAATGCACTTCAGTTTCAGACAATACTTTATTATAATGTCAAAGTGAATCTAAAGGATTTTAGCTTCAAATCAGGTACATAGTGTTCAAGAACATGCCATTCGTGCAGAAGTCATTACTTAGCAATAAAACTGTTTGGCAGCTCATCTCCTTTTTTTCTGAACTTTAAATAGAGAACATCCAGTCTCCTGCAGTAACACCCTGCCTCACAGTCACTCAGATACGCCCGTTCACAGCTGGGATTGGCCGCCTGCCTGACGGACAAAGAGCATTTTTTGCCCAAGGGCAAGGTCACGGCAGATGTTTTGGACAGAGAGAGCGTCACTCTACGGACCTTTTGATAAATGAAAAGCCCACTTCTCTAACGTCCGGGCTACATGTGCCTGCAACAGAGGAAAAGAAGAGTAGACATGAGCTTTTAGTTTCTATATTACAGCACTTTAATTCAGATCATGTTAGAGGTCACCAGTCTGTGATTAGCTTCAGCATTATAATCAACCTTTGGATTCACTGCATTAAAGCAGGACATGAAGTGACGGCAGAACTGGGTCAGTGTCATCACAAGTCATTGAGACCTCATTTGACCTTTGCCTGTGTCTGTGTGAGCATATGTTTACGTAATTGAGTTTTTCGTTTCCTCTGTCTAGTTTGAAGTGAGTGGGCGTGCGACGACGGACATGTGCTCCATCCATTAACCTGGGCACCTGCTTTGTGTTTTTGTGTGTGTGTGTGTGTGTGTGTGTGTTCTCTCCAACAGCGATGCCAACCTCACAGACGCGCTGTCTGACTCAGAGGAGTGCGATTTGGGCAGTCAGGAGCGCTTGGAGCGCGGCAGCACCGACACTCTGGCCAACGGCTGCCGAGCCGACTGCGAGGCCGCCAAGAGGCTGGCCAAGCGCCTCTATCACCTGGAGGGCTTCAAACGCTGCGATGTGGCCAGACACCTGGGCAAGAAGTGAGCACACACACACACACAGTAGCACATGTGCGCACATGATGACTGATAAATTACCCGAAACACAAGAAAACATGTTTACATAGTTGCATGTGTTCAGTATTAGCGCATGGATGAGACACAGACGTAATAGATGCACATGTGAGAACACCGGATTGATTTACAAACACATCATCAAACACATCTGCTCATGCTTACTTGATCCTTTATATAACAGGAGCATTCTCCACATTCACGTTGATGTGACGGTGCTTCTCTTTCTGCCCCCCCCCCCCGCAGTAACGAGTTCAGCCAGCTGGTGGCGTCGGAGTACCTGAGCTTCTTCGATTTCTCCGGCCTGACGCTGGATCGAGCCCTGAGGTAACGCACAGTCAGCACTCGGGGGAGTGATGAGTGTGCGATGTAGACGTCCATACACACACAAGCTAGCCTGAGTGTGTGTTCTCCGCTTTCCCTCGTCAAAAGGCATTAGCTTTGTGCTAATCAAGCTGTCGTGTTCAGTGCAGTTGGCCGGCGTGGCTGACAGCGCTGGAGTTCATCACTGCTTTGCACCTGACATGTTGCTGTCTCAAAATGCTGCCTTCAGTCAAGAGGGCTCGTGTGTGCACTTCAGACTGGCCCAGATCAGCAAACTGTAAAAAAAACACAGTAAAAGTCCTGCATTCACGCACAAGACGGGGTCTGAAAGAAAATTATCATTAGCTATAAGATAACGTCAACTAGTGTTAAAATAACTTCAGAACAGAGCAATAGCCATCTACTACTGTGCATATTTCACCATGTACAATCTTAGTTTTCATAAAGTGTGTGTGAGTAAAATCGCTGCAGTGAACACGACTTTATTGATTGGTTTATGGTTTATTCCATAGGGACACATTCAGCATACTGTACACAGACAAACTGTAAACAGCTCTCTGATGTATCAGAGCTCACTGGAGCAGTGATGTGACCTTCTCCATCACCTCACCTGCAGATCTTCACCACCTGCACATAACGATTGATTAGCAAAGTGTGTAAATAAAGCCGGTGACAGCTCTCCTACAATCACTCCACATCCTCGTTATCAGTCCTGATCATAATGCCATAAGACAACATGAGTCAATAAATGGTGTTCACCTATCAAACCAAACCAGCTGCTCACATTTACAGCTTGAGTTGGGATTTATTTTATTATTATTCTAGGCAAACATTTAGTGAGGATCCTACGCACTGTTTTATAAATGAGATCCCAGGTCTTCACACGAAAGTCAGCTCATGATAAATATAAATGGTTTATTGAAGGTTAATGTAGTTTCCTCCATTCATTTTGACTGCATAGAAATACTTTCAATCAATATTCTGTTGCACATTTTTAATTAGCAGAACAAAAACAGCTTACATTTGAGAAGCTGGAACCAGCGTTTTTGCTTAAAATAATGACTGATTATCAAAAAACTAGCTGATTACTTTTCTGTCGATGAACCAGTTGATTAATATAGACCGTATATCTTTCAACTCTACGTTAATGTTTCGCCTCAAAAGAGTCAAAGTGGGACTGCACCTGACATGAAACCTGTAGATTCTGTCAGTAAAAAAATCTACTCTATTTATTTACAGTTCAAAAGTACAGCTAGTCCTCAGCACAAGACACACACACACACACACACACACACACACACACAGACATAAAGATGAAACAATCCATCTTTGTGACAAAATACTACAGCGTGCATCACTACTAGTCTTAAAAAGCAGGTTTGACTGTTCCAGTTCTTTCAAAGTAAAATGTTTGATAAGGTTTCCAGCGAAGCTGTCAGCTGCCTTCCTCCCCGAAGTCTATGCGCTGCCGCAAGTGACGAAATCCTGCATTCATCTCACCTCCTGTTGACCTCGTGGTGTCGTTTGTGTGCGACAGGACCTTCTTGAAGGCCTTTCCGCTAATGGGAGAGACCCAGGAGAGAGAGAGGGTCCTCGTGCATTTCTCCAGCCGCTTCTGCCACTGCAACCCACGGACGCTTACCCCCGAGGCTCAGAGCCACGAGGAGGACGAGGACGAGGAGGACGACGGTATGAGCAGCGATATGAAGAGTAAAAGTCACAGCAGCTGTACACAATATCACACCATAAGTAATACATAGACGCTGTTACGTCTCTCCGTATTGATCCCAGTTAAACAGACACTCGTTACTGCAGCATATTGACACTGCAGTGTAAACGTTAGCGCTGCTCGCATAAAGATAATGCTGAATCAACAGAGGCACAGCACTACTGGAATTATGTTAGCGTGCAGGGTATTTATGCAGCTCTGCAGATGTGTCTGCATGAACTATAAAGGAGTATATGGCGCTGCATTCACGTGCACTTGTGTGTTTGTAGAGTGAGTGGCATTTATCTGACCTGGACCTTGTGTGTCATCCTGTTGCAGATGGAGCCCACACATTAACCTGCGCCCTCATGCTGCTCAACACCGATCTACACGGACATGTAAGTACCGCGCTTCTTTATCGTACTGCAGGATGGCCTTTCCTCTGATCTTTCTGAAAAGTATGAAGACAGTCCTCTGTCAGCATTGGCACGTCTCCCTTCACATCATCTTTTCTATTTCCTGTTCGTTCCGCTCCCTCCTCCTCTCTCGTCCTCTTTCCGCTCCGCGGCGGCCTACATTCTGACCCGTTTCTGTCTCTCCTCTCCTCCAATAGCCTCATCTGTTCAGGTCTAAACTGGAGCACCGTGGTCGGGGCAGCGTAACACGATCAGTGTCATGGGTCCTGTGCCTCGCTTTTCCTTCGACCCCTCCTGCTCAACTGGAGTCCCTGCTAATAGTGCTTTCTGTGAATATCACTCCTCTTAAACTAAACTAACTAGTTTCTGTCCTTCTATCCCCTGCTAACCAAATCTGGCCCCCTGGTCTCTGTCCACCCCTGCAGGTGGTAAGTATATTCATAGTGCTAGCACCGGGCTCCTTTACATCTGCCTCCGCTAACAATATAAATTTAATACAGATGTCACATTAGGCTCATAATAAAGAATGCACACACAGTGGTATAATCATTTTAAACCAGAGCGGTTCAGTGACACAAAAAAAAAAATGCAGGTGCTGAAATGTGGTTCACCAGAGAAAAATGGTCAGCAGCTGTTTTTGGTTGACATTTATTCTACATGTGATGAATGCATTATTGGTTTAAGCAATGAGAAATACCATTGATCTGCAGCGTTACAAATCACATCTAAATTACAGCAGATTGCATTTTAGAAAGGCTTTACATTTTATAATATAAGAGTTGAACTGAACATTTGCACCTTTGCATTAGAACACAAGTTCACTTGCAAACTGAGGCGTTCATCCAGTCGGTTTGTGGCTCTGAAGTACACCATGTTACCTATCCGCTGGATATTATGAATAAATGGAGCACAAAACATTTGGTGACGCATGTTACATCGATCGTCACAGAGCGTTTCATCCTGGGTATTTTGAACATTTCCTAGAAAAGGGAGCCGGGTTGTCTTGTCTGTTACTCAGAGGAAAAGCCACAGACAATATCTTTTATTTTTTTTCTGTAACAGCAGTGAGTCAGCTTTAGTCCCACATCTGTATCTGTTTAGGTTACAGACGTTATCCAGGCAGAAAGGAGCAGTAATACACAAACACCTCCCTATGTTTCATCTTCTAATGATGCATCCTAATTAGAGATTAAGACATGAGGAAATGTATGGTAAGCTGATGCTCCATAAGCTCCGACAGAGGTGGAACCTTCTCGTCACTAGTAGAACCGGCAGCATAACACTGCCACCCAGTGGAGAGTTAAACAACTGCATTCAGGTTTCAGCACATAAAACTCTCAAATTTGCCTCCACAAAAATGATAATGACATCGTAAACTGTTATGTTTCTGTCCGTCTGTGTCTGTCTGTTTGTTCGCCTCTCCTCAGAACATTGGGAAGAAGATGTCTTGCCAACAGTTCATCAGTAATCTAGATGGCCTCAACAGCGGCAAAGACTTCCCTAAAGACTTATTAAAGGTACGGATCGCCCCGTATGAAAGTACAGCCTCCACAAAATCTGTCAGCTTGATCTTTGTTTTGTCTGAGCTTTAGAAATTCAGCATGTCTTCACAGTTTCTCTCCTTTGTTGCTCGGTCCACGCAGGTCTTGTATAACTCGATCAGGAATGAGAAGCTGGAGTGGGCCGTGTGAGTACGCATGTTGTGTTCATCAAAGGGAAAAGTATTTGGGGCGTGCAGGTTGTGTAGAAGCAAGCACACTTGAATATGTGCTACTCAGGTTTGTCTGAATTTGTGTGTGTGTGCAGTGAGGAGGAGGAGCTGAGGAAGAGTCTGTCAGAGCTGGTGGAGGAGCAGTGCGAGGGCGGGAATAAGCGCGTTGCCAGGGTAACGGACGGCCATAACCCCTTCATCGCCATCCCCATCCTCCTCAACGCCGTCACCTACAAACACGGAGTGCTGACCCGCAAGAGCCACGCTGACATGGACGGCAAACGCAGTGAGTGATTGTACACACACACACACACACACACACACACA